TGATATTTTCACATATTGCATTTTAACATCATAGTCCTTAGCTTATTTAAGACACGTCTCCTTGTTCGATTAGGATATTTTTTTTAAAAAAATAAAATAAAATTGAGCACATGGCTTGTATTATTTAATTAAGTAAAAATAAACATAACAAACATCCAACAATAAACAAAAATTAGGCCCCAAATGGACCCTAAAATAAATAAAGAGTGAATTGGAGAAATTTCACTAGTTTAGGAGCTAATTATTTAGATTTAAGATAGTAAGAATATTATGAATCTTATCTTATTTTGGGTTTTGGATACATAGATCTTTCGCGTCCAATTACATGTATCTCAGAATTAAGCGTTATTTCTTCTAGGTACATTGTATCGAAGTGAATTAGTTGTATGTATCAATTGCCTCACTCAAACTCTCCTATCTCGCTTGCCTCGCTCTCTGTATCTGATAAGCCAGATACATGTATCTAGTGTGATTCACACGTATCTAGAAATCTTGCACGCTTCTTTTCTTCTATCGCTTACCTCCTCTCTCACTATTTTAGTGTATCTGGAAGTAAAAATACATGTGTCTAGATATACTGTTGAGTTTTATTTGCCCTAAATTTCTTACCATAAATAGGTTTTCCTTGTAGGAAAAGGTTTTGGATTGATTTCTTGTAGGGAAAGGTTTAGGATTCTATAAATAGAGACATGTTCCTTCTAACTTAATTAGCATTCACAATGTAGTCTTAAGGGCTTTGAGAGTTTGGTTAGAGAGAGAATTTGTTGGTCACAAGCTTGATACGTTATCACTTGTGTGAACCTCCCATGTATTCTGAGTGAATTGGTTGAGGTTGTTTCCCTCTGTATTTTGTACTCTCATATTTATAGTGGATTGCTCATCTCCTTTGTGGACGTAGGTCGATTGACCGAACCACGTTAAATCTTTGTGTCTTTTGGTATATTTCTCGTTGTCTTCTTACTCGTGGTCTTTTGAGGTTTGCTTTGCTAGCTTCCGCGTTTACACCTACTTATTTTCGATCCTAACATATACCTGACTTGA